TATCCAACCAGACCAAGGAAGCATATAAGCTCTTTCTTCATCTGGGGGATGGGGAACTTTTGAATGGCTTCCACTTTAGCTGTAACTGGACAGATTTTACCCTGTCCGACCACATGGCCCAGGTAAGTAACTGTTGCCTTACCAAAATCCCACTTTGACAGGTTTATTGTGAGTCTCGCCGCTGCCAACCTCTCGAACAGCTCCCTGATTCACTGGAGATGTTGCTCCCAAGTGTCTGAGTAGACCACAACATTGTCGAGGTAAACCGCACAGCCAGGCATGTCACCAACCACCATGTTCATGAGCCTCTGGAAAGTAGCGGGCGCGTTCTTCAGCCCGAACAGCATCACTGTATTTGAAAACAGGCCAGAAGGTGTTATGAAAGAAGACACCTCAGATGCGCGTTTTGTTAAAGGTACCTGCCAGGATCCCTTTAATAGATCTAATTTGCTAACAAAAGTAGCAGAGCCAACTTGATCCATGCAATCGTCCATTCAAGGCAATGGAAAACAGTTTTTGTGACCGAATTAAGCTTTCTGTAATCAGTACAAAATGAAAAGTTTTATCAGACTTTGGCACTAAGATACACGTTGATGACCAACCAGAATGACTTGGTTTAGCCATACCACACTTTTTTTGTCATGATTAACTCTGCAAAATCTCTGTCTTACAGGCTTTGTGTCTTCCAACTCTATGTCGTGTTCAATTAGATTCGTCTGACCTGGCGTATCTGAAAACAAACACAAATATTCATTAATCAATGAACTTAGCTTGAAAAGGAGATGTAATAACCGTACTCAAAACTAAGACTTGATCACCAGATAAGAATGATCTGTCCTCAGACTTCCTGTCAAACAGAACTTTCATTTTAGACTGAGACGCTGTCAACTTTTCTTTGACCAACTCTCTGGCTGTATACAGATGTTTACGAAAACCATTGACATAATCCACCATGTTAGCTGGAGGATCAAATTGCAACAAATCACTTGCCAGTGCAGATAAAGGTCCTTTTACTTTATGTGCAAAGACTAACTCATTAGGGCTAAACCCTGTGCTTTCTTGTACGACCTCTCTGGCAGCTAACATYAACCATGGCAAACCTTCCTCCCAGTCACGACCTAACTCTGAACAATAAGCACGTAGCAATGATTTAAGTGACTGATGGAACCTTTCCAACACACCTTGGCTTTCCGGATGATAAGCCGAAGCTTTTACATGCCATACTCGTAACTGCTTTAATGCTTGTTTGAACAAGTTAGATGTAAAGTTAGTACCTTGATCTGACTGTACAACCTTTGGAATACCAAAGACTGAAAAGAATTGGGTTAATGCTCTGACAACCGATTTTGCCGTGATCGTACGTAATGGATACGCTGCTGGATAACATGTAGTCTGACACATGACTGTAAGCAAATAAGCTGAACCTGACTTTGATTTAGGCAAAGGCCCAACACAATCCACCACCAGACCAGCTGGTCAAATGGTTCTGATTTTGTTTCGATCGGAGCCAAAGGAACTGGTTTTAAAGTTTGATTGGGTTTGGAGGTCAACTGACAAACATGACACATTTTAATAAAACCAGATACATCTCGTTTAAGACGAGGCCAGAAGAAATGTCTTAACACTCTGTCGTACGTTTTTTTCACTCTAGAATGACCAGATTCGTCATGAGCTGTTTTTAATATGGCTGTTCTGCATTTATTTGGCACAACAATCTGAAAAACTGGACTACCCAACATCTCTAAATGTGGTACCCATTTTCTCACCAATAAACCTTCTTGCATGAACAAACCATGAACATTTCGACCAACTCAGAGTATGGACGGAAGTCATCAAACAGTGTTTTCAAAGAAGTATCTGCCTTTTGTTCCGCTGCGAGTTTATTGCGAGAAACAAACATAGGAAAGACAATAAGACATAGGAAAGACAAAGGTTGAGACACTTTCATTGATCTTTCCTTCTGTTCTTGTTCTTTTTGTTTTGGCATAGATCGTGTCACTGAACAAGCAACAAACACCTCAGGAAACTCTTTTTCGTTTTCATCAGTTTGATAAACCAGTTGTGGTTCTGTTTTAGGTTCTTTTTGAACTGATTGTGTGTTTTGAGTTAGGTCTGACCACATGTGATCACCCACCAAACCATTACCTAAGATGATTGAAATGTCTTCCATGGGCATTATAGCTATTATACCTCTTTCAAAGTATTTCCCTTCCGCCTCCTCCTGAATTATTCATTTGGCTGAAAAAAAACATTTTAGGCTTTATGTGGAACAACAGAAGGCCTAGGCTACGCCTCTCTTTGCTTTATTTACCATTTGACAGAGTGGGCTTAAAGTGCCCCGACTTCAAACTTTACTATTGGGCTGCACAACTAAGAACTATCATGTTCTATTTTGCAGACAAAGATAATCCTTACTGGGTAGAAATGGAGTCCCATAACTTAAGTTCAGCTCTTCCTTTATTTACTCCGACACTCCAAAGAAGTTTCAGAAACAAACTACAAATCCCACTCTGAAAAACATGATCCAAATCTGGCAGGATGTTAGAAAATATCTCGCGGAGCCAAATGGCATGTCCCAATTTAGTCCAATATGGGGTAATCAACTGTTTGCTCCAGGTAGGGCAGAAGGAACATTTAAACTCTGGGCATCGCAAGGTTTAAAAAGTATAGCCGACCTTTACTCATCAAATTCTGATATATTTTTGTCATTTGAAGAGCTACAAACCAAATTCAAGCTAGACAAAAAGCACTATTTCAAATTCCTTCAGTTGAGATGCTTTGTTAAAGCAAATTACAATAATCTTAACAAGCCTTCCCTTACATTGCTTGAAAAATTAATGACTCTGAATAAGTCAAGAAAGGGCATTATTTCAGACTTCATTGAACAGGATTGGGAAAAGGTTTGCATTAAAACTCACACAATGTCCATAAACAGTCGTCTCAGAATTCTACAATTTAAATGGCTAATGCATGTTTATGTTACGCTCGTGCATTTAAATAAATACAACAGCATCCCAGACCTTTGCGTAAAGTGTAATTCTAAAGGGACTCTAATACACTGCATGTGGGAATGCAGACAAATCAATGCATTTTGGACAGAGCTGAAAGATATACAGTAATAGAAAAAATTATCTTAAAGCAAATTTCACTGGATCCTAAATTGTTCCTGTTAGCTTTATATCCTGAGAAGCATAACTTTAGTAAATCAGAATCTGCTTTTATTGATATAAGCTCATTAGCTGTAAAAGAATGTATTGCTTTGTCTTGGAAAAATGTCAGCAGACCTAGTGTCACAGTGGTTAAAGCAGATGTCGTCTAATTTACCGCTAGAAAGAATAACATATATTAGGAAATCCAAACAGTATCTTTTTGAGAAGATTTGGGGCCTTTCATTAATTTTATTATGGACTTAGATTTGTCAGAGGCTTTGTTTGAGTTCTGATTCACCAGAACCTGCAGTGTACCATGCTGTATAGATG